TGGGGGAGATGTCTCCAGACAGTGAGGAGGACATTGCTTTGTCACCTCCTGAGGGCCTGCATTTGGATTCCCATTCTGCCTCACTGCCTTCACTTGACCTGGGGTTACCCCTTTCTGCATCCCCTTCACCTGACCATAGCCCTTCGCAGAGGGTGCAGACACCATTACCGGATATGGCTACAATAATTTCGGAGGCCATTAAACAGGGCATTGCTGCGGTGCTCCAGCAGAGACGTTCTAGTCGCTCTTCAGAGGGCAGCAGGGCCCCTAGGAGGGTCACGACAGACTGCAGGTCAAGATCCCAGTCCACTGCTCCAGTTGATAGGTCACCAAGCAGATCCTCCAACTCTGAGGAGGAAGAGGGCAGAATCCGCAGGGTGGTGAGGGCCTCCACTGCTTCTTTTTCACTAGCGCCTCTCTTCATTGGTTAACGGACTTGCAGGATAGGATCCCAGCGTCGGATTCCAGGTCCCATCAGGACCTCAATAAGCTTAAGGCTGTCATAGAATTCTTGGCTGACGCTTCCTTGAATGCGGCCTGGTTTGCTGCCAAGGCCATGGGAGCCTCGGTGGTGACCAGATGCCTCTTTTGGCTCCACCAATGGCAGGTGGACACCAGGTACAAATGGCGTCTTGCATCTGGGCCCTTCGACAGAGACAAACTTTTTGGGGGGAGCCTGGAGCCCCTGCTGTTCGAGTCTAAAGATAAGAGAAAGATTATCCCATCTCAATATAAAAAGGCAGACGGTCGCTCAGCCCCATTTTATTGTAGGTCACCCTTTCGAGGGGCAGACAGGAGTTCAAATTCTCCCATCCTCAACGTCAGTTCCAGTCCCATCAGGGTCAATAGCAGGATAGATCAGGCAAGGATATCCAGGAGTACCAACTCCAGAGGTCCTACAGAGGGGGATCTGGTGGTTCCTTTTGGCAACAGAAGTGACTGCATTCCAAACCTTCCCATCAGGGGTCGATTGGCTTCTTTGCCTCCTGGTGGGAGGAGATATCTGGGTCAGGGAGACGGTCAAAATCAGCCTCTTGAGTTCCTATTCCCCTCCCAAGGTATTTGAGAACATGTCCAGTATCTTGAGATTGGGACAAAAAATAGCTAGTAGACTAATTTATTCAGCATCTTCTAGACATAAAGGCAATTCAGCCGGTCGCAAAGGGACAGAGTGGACGGGTTTTATTCCCTCCTGTTCATCGTTCCAAAGGCCTCAGGGGGTTGGAGAGCAATTCTTGACTTAAAATGCTTAAACCGCCATATTGTTTACCCGGGCGGGCGTCAAGATGCACTCTCTGCTGACCATCCTAGAGTGCGTATGAAGGAACCACTTTCTCACCTCGGTGGACCTCACAGAGGCCTACCTGCACATCCCAATTCATGCGGACTATAGGCAGTTCCTGCGGTTCTGCTACCAAGGGAAACACTTCCAATACAGGGCCCTCTCCTTCAAGCTCTCATCTGCCCCCAGGGGTTTCACAAAGGACCTAGCCGCAGTAGCTGCCCATCTTCGAACTATTCCCATCAGGAGCCAGTGCTACCTGGATGATACCCTTCTGATGTTCAGGTCAATGGATCAGGCAAGGCAGACATAGACATGGTGATGGCAGTACTCTGAGACCACAGCTTTTCTATAAATCTGGAAAAGAGCCACCTTTCCCCCACGCTCCATCTCCTTCATCTGTGGGTGGTCATAGACATGACAAGGGGCAAGGTTTTCCTCTCTCAGGCAGGACAGCATCAGGGCCTTGCCCAGGAATGTAAAGTCCCAGCACAACAGCCAGCTGATCGTGTTGTCACAACTCTTGGGGAAGGTGGTTTCCTGTTTCTCCATCATTCCTTGGGCCGGTCTTCACAGCCCGACCCTGCAATGATTCCTGCTCCCACACCAGAAGGCCAACAGAAGCTGCTCTTCCATCGTGGTGCACCTGCCCTGGAGGTGACCAAGTCCCTGAAGTGGTGGACATTCCCTGCCATATGCCAGGGATCGTTGTTGAGGGAGCTTTTCGTCTCACATTGATCACTGATGCCATTCTGACTGGATGGGATGCTCACCTGTGATCAAGTATGACCCAGGATCTGTGGTCTTACACAGAAAGCCAATACAGCATCAATTGGCTGGAACTGTGGGCCATACATCTAGCCCTCATCAAATTCAAATGGGAAGTAGTCAACCACCATGTCTTGATTCTCACTGACAACATGATGGCCAAGGCGCATATTAATCAACACGGAGAGACATGGTCCAGGTCCCTCATGCAAGAGGCCAATCTGCTCGGTTGCTGGGTGGAAAAACAGATACTGTCCATAAGGGCCGAGCACATCTCAAACTTTCAAGCGGAGTGGCTCAGCCGCTCCCAGATAGACCATATGGAGTGGATGTTGCATCCCACCCTCTTCACTGAGCTGATAGCACATTACGGAAACCCAATCATCGACCTGTTTGTGATGAAGGAGAACAGGCAGGTGAAGCATTTTCTGGCATGTTACACAACCGGAGGGCACAGATGCTCTGTGGTGCAAGTGGCCAAAAGGCCTTCTCTATGCCTTCCTGCCCGCCTCTCGTCCAGAGGGTCATCAGGAAGATGCTGGAGGAGTATGGTGAACTCTCCTTCTGGCCATATTGCCCGTGGTTCGTGGACCTGATTTCGCTGTCAGTGGCACCTCATTGGAGGCTTCCAATGACCCCCACTTCCCCAGCCAAGGCTCCATCACACACCCGGACTCGTAGTGGATCAAGCTGACCGCTTGGTGGCAAATCCTGAGGGAGGCCAATTTGTCCCCCAGCATCATTACCACCATTTAAGCTGCCAGGCATTCTTCCACAAACCATATTTACGACGCTACCTGGAAGATGTTTCCCCATTGGGCACTTCCTCCCATCACAGTCCCTGATTCACATGGTACTGGATTTTCTTCAAGAAGGGCTGGACAGTGGCCTAGCTCCAAACATGCTCAAGAGGCAGACGGCTGCTCTTTCATAAGTCATGGTTTACGTAGAGTTTCTGTCTCTGGCGCATCATCCTTTGGTCCACTGTTTTCTCTGCGGTGTTGCCAACCTTCGTCCTCTGACTGTTCATCTTTATCCCACTTGGGACCTGCCTTAGGTGCTGCTTGCGCTTACGGGAGCCCTGTTTGAACTCTTAAGGGATACTTCTCTATGTTACCTGTCCCTCAAGGTGGTCTTCTTGGTTGCCATCTCCTCCGTCAGGAGGATTTCTGAGCTAGCATCCCTGTCGGTGAGGCAAGATTTGTGTATCTTTCATTAGGACAGAGTCGTGTTGAGGCTCGACCCTTCCTTTATTCCAAAAATCAACTCCAGATTCCACAGGGCGCAGGAGGTGATTTTGCTGAACTTTTTCCCGGCTCCAACTCATCGATTGGATTGACAGTGGCACCCTGGACATGTGGAAGGCTCTCTGGATTTATTTGCATCGGACGTTGGCATTGAGGCATACAGAGGCACTTTTCATTTTTTATCAATCTACATCTTTGGGATGTAAGGCGGCAACTTCATCATTGGGGTGTTGGATCTCAGCATGTATTTCAAAAGCTTATGACTGCAGTCACAGGGACCTCCAGGCCACAGCTTGGCTTATTCAACTAGCGGTGCAGCTACTTCAACAGCTTGGGCCATGCAAGTTTTGCTTGAGGAGGAGTGCAGGGTGGTCACATGGTCATCGCCATCACAGTTCATCCACCATTATAAGACTGACAGTTTTGCATCAGCGGATGCAGCATTTGGCAGGTGGGTTCTACAGGCGGTGCACATGATCCAGGAATCGGGCCCGGTCATCAACCCACCCTTAAGGACAGTCCAGGCTTTGGTATGTCCCATTCTGGATGCTATCTCCACCATCAATGGAGAATGGGCATTAGTTCTTACCTGAGACGCCCATTCTCTGGGCAGGTGGAGATAGCATCAGCCCCAACCTGGAATATGGAGTGCTGGTCCATTGTCTTGGAGGAGAGATATTGGTTCAAATTCGTCTTTTGTCAATCTGCAGTTTCAACTTTGCCTAAAGCAGGGTGGAGCCAATACAGGAAGCAGGATGTTGGAAAACATGCAGACTCAGTCCCTATTGGATCAGATAGAGTTAACCCATTCTGGATGCTATCTCCTCCTACCCAGAGAACGGGTGTCTCAGGTAAGAACCAATGCCCATTCTCCTGTAAGGGCCCTTCAATTCTGTCAGAAGGTTTTTAGAAACGGTCTGACATTATCTTCTTCCTAGGGCTAAGAGAAAGCAACTATTCCAAAGTCATCCAGTTGGTTGTTAACCTAATGCAGGACTAGAACTTGTGTTTTCAAGCAGATGCCCTTGATCATTTAGATCAAACTGTTTTCCTAAACTTTGAATGCATTGGAATAAATTTACATCAATCACTCCCCCCAAAAATATTGATTTCTGCATTAGTATTTTATTCTAATATTTTTATACTCATATGGCTTTAATCATGGTACTGATGTGGGAAAGAAACAAGCTGTATACTTCCTCATCCTCAAAGTGGAAAATTGAAAGAAAAGATCCAACCAAGTGATGCTTTGCATATTCTCAGTATTTCCTCATCTCTTGTGTACTTTTTGTTCCTTGCTAGTTTGCCACACAAGGACTTTAGATGCTGCTTTTAGCTCCTTAACTTGTTATCTTCATCATCTCCCTTACAAACCATTGAGTAGCATTGCACTTTTTATCCCACCTGTCACATGTTGTTTGAATTGGCTGGGGAGGATCTTTTTCTTCCATCCCCTTTTATGTGTCTCTTGCCAAAAAGAAATACTATCATCCTTCTCCCTCTGCCTAGGTTTGTGTTATGTGTATGTCTTTATACATGTATTCATGAATCTATTATCCCATATAGTTTTTTACTAAGAAAACTTTTGTAAGTCTCTCATGGTTTATTTACATATGATGTTATGGTTTTACAATAGCTTATTTTAGCTATTGCTAAATTTCAGTTCTCAATTGAATTTGTTTTCTTTTTTTCCTTCCCTACAGAGGTTATTGTGAGACAATAACAGCCTTCATATAAAAACACTTTTTCTGCGTGACTGATAGAATTTGTAATGTTGATTTATTTCTACCTCTGATGGAGGATTAACTAGATTTCTCACTGCTACACTGGAAGACTTTGCAGAAAATTTAAAATGTCATCAAATAGGAGTCAGAATCCTCATGGACTTAAACAGATTGGTCTTGATCAAATATGGGATGACCTGAGAGCTGGAATTCAACAAGTATATACAAGGCAAAGCATGGCAAAGTCCAGATATATGGAACTCTACACGTATCCTAAACAAATATTCCTAAATAAATGGCTTTAATGGTTTTGTCATCATACTCTTACTCTGTTTCATAAGTGAAGCAATGTGAGGTTTGGGATATTAATTTCTTAAATGCATTACTACTGTCTGGTTTTGACTGCCATTGCATGCTTTCTTCAGAATGTTGTGATGAGTAGAGGTTGATGTTGGTATACGTATATGTAGTGTGTTGTTATAGGAGGGACCAATCAGGTTATTGTGAGGAGAATTGAAGATGGGAACTACATCAGGTCTTTTCCAGTCCTCTTAATAGTTCCCCAATGCTCCCAGATTTTTGAAAGATATAGTTCAGTGGTTCTGAGATCACATCTGCCAGTTCCTTCAGAACCTTGGGATTTAATCCATCTGTCCTGTGATTTGAACTCATCTACGGTGAATAGGTACTTTCTTACCATTTTATTACCTATTTTAACTCATATTCCTAATCTGTATTTTTACAGTGCTGTTTTTGAGAGGTTGGACTTTTTATATAAAAACATATGCAAAAAATGAATTAAGCAGTTCTGCTTTCTTCTTATTGCTCATCACCTTCTTGCCATTTTCTCCTATTAATGGACCAATCATTTCCTGGACATTTTCCTTGTTTTTTTATATGTTGAAAGAAGCTTTTTTTGTTATTTTTTACTTTTGTTGCAAGCCTTAGTTCATTTTGAGTCTTGGTTTTCCTGACTTCATCTTTGCAGGCTTGGCCTATTTGCTGAAATTCTGCTTTAGTTATGTATCTCTCTTCTTTTTACACTTTTTGTCTTTCAATTTATTAGAGAGTTCTTACTGCAGCCCTGCTGGTTTCTTTTGAGAGCTGTTATTTTTCTTCTCCATTAAAATTGTGCTAGACTGGGCTTTTATAATCTCACTTCAAAATTCCACAAGCTTCTTGGGTTGTTTTCCCCTTGAAGATTCTCATCCATGGAATCTTTCCCAAGCTCTTTCTAAGTTTATTGAAATCAGCTCTCTTAATATCCAAGACTCTAGTTTGACTTTGTTCTATTGCTTGTGCTTGCATAATGTTGAATTCCAATATTGCATGATCTCTCTTCCCCCCACCCCCCATGCCAAGATTCCTATAACGTTAACATCTTCTATCATTTCATCTCTGTTATCATGTCATCACTTGTCCTACTTGGACAAGTGACTCTAGGTGATGAACAGTCATGAAAACAATTCAAAACAATTACAAAACTAAATATATATGGCAGTCATACATAGAGATTTTGCTTATTTGTAATCATGCAAAGAGTAGAACTGGAAAGTTATGCAATTGCAAAACAAAAACACCTTTGACATAATGTGATTTCCAATATTATTTGTACAACGTCTCTCAGTCTGTCTAAATTGGCTATATTGTAATCTATGAATCGGGAATTCCAGGTTTATACTTCTGCTGTGAATTCTTTTCTGGGCCATTGTTTATCCTCACCGTTTGCTTTAATGGTATCAGAATACTGATAACTTTTACAAAGAACATCGTAAGAATTATAGAAATCATTGGTGAATCCAAAGCAGTTCATTGAAAATTAGTTGGGCATGAATTAGCTGATTTGCTGATCTAATTTCAGTGATTTTGTATTGAGTGAGTGTTTGTGTGTGTGTGTGTATGTGTATGTGTAGAAGGTATTCATGCAGTATTAATTTACTGTTTAATTGTAACATATAACATGTCCTTAACTCTTCCATCAGTCATGTTTATAACTACTGCACTAGTGTACATCAGTCTAATCAAGCCCGAGGAGCTGGTGTAACCACTTCTAAATCTAAAAAAGGCCAAACACCTGGAGGAGCTCAGTTTGTTGGCTTAGAATTGTACAAACGACTTAAAGAATTTTTGAAGAATTACTTGACAAATCTCCTTAAGGTAAGACAATAATTTTATCTTTTGGAAAAGATATTTCTCATTTTTTGAAAAAAGGACATGTCTATAAATTCTATTTTAGAATCTCCATAAATATTTATTTAGCTTATGGCATCTTAAGAAATCATGCAATGACTTACACAAATTTAGTTTAAATAAAGTGTCAGCATACACACACATACACACAATGTACAGAATATAAAATATTAAGATATTAAGTTTGAGATTGGAACATTTATTTTATCCATCTTATGCACCTCTAAAGTGCACTTCAGTAAAATAGTCAAGGGAACAAGCAATAAAAATAATAAGCAGTGAGAAATGCTGCTTAAACAAATGAATGTAAATCTAATTTTGCAAAGTGTATGGAAGCAATTGTAATACCAAATTTAATAGTATTTAACCAATAAACTCCTAAATATCTTGAAGATACTGTGTTTGAAAATGTGCCTCTCTTATACAGGTAATCTATATAGGTAGCCCTCATTTAACAATTGCTTCAGAGAGGGATCATTTTCAATAATGGTAGTGATGAAAAAATAATCTTGCAACTAATATTTACAACCTTCACAGAATCTCTCAGTCACACATTCTCCTTTACAATTAGGATGTGTTGTTTTATTCATGATCTCTTTAATTTAGTATACTTTATTCAGTAAATTTTCTTTGCTGATTTAATTTTGTTATTAGGGTTAAAATGTAATTCTCCAAGATAAAGAAACTGACACTGACTGGAAACAGTCTTCAAGAAGAGAGTTAAGCCAAATTGTGCTTCCCAATCCCAAAACTGTTCAAGAAGTTTACCATAGTTGATGGTATCAAAAGTAGCTAAGGGATCAAGCAGAGCAGCGATAGATACATAACCTTTTCCTGCTCCGTCTATATATAATAAAAAAGTGGGACCAATGCTATTTTGCCCTACCTCTGTGCCTGAATCCTGACTGGTAGGGATCCATATAAACTATTTCCTCCAAGATTCTCTGGAATTACAGCATAATTACTTGCTCATTTGTTCTGCAATAAGGACAGATTGAAGACAAAACTATCCATTAGAGTAGTATCTGTCAATTATTTCTACAGGAGACGAACATTAGCTTACAGAAGGGGCAAATTATCCTATTTCCCCCCAAAACAAGACCTCCCCAGATAATAAGGCCAATCAAGCTTTTGAGTGCATGCGCTAAAATAAGTCCTCCCTGAAAATATTGTAACACAGCAACAGCCCTGAGGTGACTACGCTCGTCGCCTCCTGCACCTCAAAAATAATAAGATCTTCCCGAAAATATATAATGTATACTAACACTGGTTTTTGGACTCATACTTCCTTCTTCCAGGCCTTATTTTTAGTTGGGGGGAAAAACAGGAAACAACGTTTCCTGATTTAAACTAATCAGAATTTTCACTTTCTCCAATGTGAATGATAGGGAGGATTACTCAATTTAAGACTCTGCATTATGTTGTTTAAATTATTGATGATTGGTTTTGTGCCATCAAGTCAACTCCTAACAACATATATAAATTTGTCTATGACATGACAATCTCTCCCTAATCTGTTCTTTCAGCAGTAGCTTAATTCGAAGATTGGTACAAAATTGTATCAAGCATTACTTTGTCCACCAATAAACATTTTCTCCAAATCATTATTCATTGTCTCCCATTGTATCGGTTTTCAGCAAACCATGTTTCTAGTGGTTCAAGTCTTTAAAAAAATAATTGGGATATGTCATTATGGATTTTTCCCCCCTTCAACTTATAGGTATTACTTCTAGAAGGACAATGCTAGATAAGAAAGTTGAGTAAATTTTAAAATGTCAATGGTATATTGTAGAAAAAATTCTTGTTCTCCATTTTATACCGCTTGGGCGGGGGGGCAGAAATGGATATTATCATGTCCTGATTGGTCCAGAGACTGAGTGGTACTTTTTTCCCCAGCCATGCCTCTAACTCTCTCTTGGTTCCCGTTTTCAACTCAGTCTAGTCCGAGAGAGATTGTTATTTCTTGGCTCCTGATTGGATGCCATTCCTGGTTCTTACTTCTAAATTGGAAAAACCTTTCTTAAAAATTAATTCTTAAATTGGCTTACTCTAAATTCCAAATTGTGAAATTGACAGGCTGTTGACTGCTTCAGGGGCCATTTAAAGCTGCCACCTTCCTGGGGCTTTGGAACACTGGTCTGGCAACTATTTTCCAGCTCCATTTGCCACATGGAGCCTGAGGTATCGCTGTTCATGGGGGGGAGGGGGGTGCCAGGCTCAAGGAGCAGTGTTCTGCTCGGCCGGCTCTGGCCTGTTCATCGGGTAACACACCGGCACCATTGCATGCAGAGAGGTTTCTGCTGAGTGGGAAGCAGGTGGCTGCCATTCTAAAGTGGCTAGGTCTAAGAGACTCCACAAGCGATCCATGAGGGCAGAAGTACTCTGGCAAGCGAGGAGGCTCCCCAAAGCAGCCGCTGGTCTCTTTAAAAGTTGCAATGCCTAGGCAAGATGTCGGAAGCATCTGGGCTGCAACAAGGAGACAAAGAGTGCGGCAGCAGTGTGAATACTCCATGGCAAGGTCACAAGATGGCGGGCTCTAGGACCGATGCCAATCCGAGGCTGTTAGATCCAGAAAGAGCCCCAGGAGTGGAGGAAGGCTCACCTAGGCCCCATACCACAGCCAAGAAGACCAAGGCCTTGGCTGCTCAGCGCACCTCTAGGGCCACAGTTAGAGCTGAGTAGCGGCAGCAGAAGGGGCTGGAGAAGAGGATGTCCCGGGCAGTAGAGGCAGAGCAGTGACGTGTGGTGAGGTTTATGGCTGGTGAGGCACTGATATCATCACAATCAGATTTACAAACATTAAAA